TGGAGAAGGCAAACAACCTACAAAATCAAAGTTACAACGAGAAAAAAGCAAAGTATATATAAAAGGGGAACTATTATATAGGAAAAATCTTGTTCAAGGTAAATACGAATAGCATTTATTCAAACTTTTACACATCAATCTAACTAAAATTTAAAATTATAGGTTTGGTATATTAGACGTCTTATATTAAAATTTTCCTACGATCGTATTAAGAACTGTTAATTTGACATAGAAAAGCTGAATCCACCTTCGACAATCATTTCACCAACAACTTATTTAGCTAACATCACATCAGGTGACAATTTAATAAAAACATATACTTACAACTAATCAAATATTAAACCTAACCCTATATGATGCCAGCTAATGAACTTTCGGTGAAATGACTGTCGGCAAAATGATGTATCTCTTATTAGTGTTCTTACGCTTACAACTATTAACCTTAAATTTTAGAGGTTGACCAGGATACTTGGATTGTGTCCCGTTTCAGTACGGATGCTGATATCCAATATGTTGCTGCCGAATCGGATAAAAATAGTTCGGATAAAGAAAACTCTGAATCTCAGGCACCTGGCTTATTTGATAAATGTAATATAAAACAGCCAGAAAAAATATTGTGTTACACGTAAAAGCGAAAAATTCGCTTGTCCATGTAGTTTCAATGTAATTCGGGACACAATTGCCAGGATATTGTAGCTGTCTTTTTTTTTATTGGAAAATTGAAATCACAAAAGTATATTTATCTTATTTATGTACTTTATTTTTTTTTATCTTAATATAAACCATGACTCATTATAGAACAGATTCAATGTAAATTACCGTGGTTTAGCAAACCAGTTTGGATGTACAGATCGTTTTGTATATAGAACACAAAAGTCAGATTTTAGAGTAGTGGGGGGTATTGTGACGAAATTGAAAAAAAAATTTTTCACTTAATTACGTATGTACGTACAACATAATTTTTTTTTATTTTTCAAACATTTGAAGTAATTTATTTATTCTATTTATTTCTTTTATCACTTTTTTGTGTTTTAGATTGATGCTCTTCTCTTTCT